ACTGGTCAGTGCTTTGCAGCCCTATTTTCCGCACAAAAAATATACATGCCGATGAAAATGTTTTCCTTGCAAATAGGTCACTTCACGCAGGTAGTGTGGACAACAAGTAGTCGATTGGGGGTGGGGAGAGCCAAGACAAAAGATGGCAAGGCCTGGTACGTCGTTTGTAATTATGATCCACCAGGGAATTGCACTCGACGCTACGATGAGTTCGTACCGCGGCCCATCGTTCAAACTGGGAAAAAAGTAGTTCAGGAGACAGCCCCCAGTCGCTCTAACGAAGTCGATGACGAGGCCGAGAAAATTCGTCGTATGAAGATCGATGATAAGGCCACCGCCAATGCAGACGCTCACCATTCCGCTGGTGAAGTATCAGACTTCGAGAGGGGAATGCTGAAACGACACAATCACCATCGGAGGAAACATGGATCGCCACTCCTAATTTTGGATAAGGAGGTAAGTGAATACAGGGAGTTGCAAATATATGATTTTAACCGAAAATATGTTCGAGCAGCACTTTGATATACCGTGCAGTCCTAATTGAAAACATACTTAAGTATTCATATTGAAAATCTATCGAAAATGTTTTAGCTGATGTATTTATTTAGGATGAAAATCGTTCCTGATGTTAGCCAGACACATTTCAAGATGCCATGCTATTTACTCTTCATGTTTACACTGCCTGGATCTATTATCCTTAAGACTTCAGAGAGATCTAAATATCCTCCTTAGGGAACTGCGGCCGATGAGGTTGCATGTGGAATATATACGAATCAGAGTACAGATTTAATAAAGTGATGAAAACGGAGTATATGTTTGTATATTTTAAAATGACTAATTTCAAGAATATCTGACTCAATATTCCACGAAACTGACTTAGCTGTTTGAACTTGTACCATTCAGTTGAGCAGGCAGAGCCAAGAATGGGCGGAGACGCTGGCCAAAGAGAACCGCGGAATGAAGCACCGTCCGCAAGAGAAATACGGCGCTTGTTTGTACCAAATCAGCGGCGATACCTGTTCCGTCTTTCCGAAGGACGTAGTGGACTTCTGGTACAAGAAGATGAAAGATTTCGATTTTCAGAACCCCGAAGGAAATGCTGCCACAGGAGGTGCGGTACACGGATTATCAAACCAGCTGCTAATTTCAAAATCATTGATTTCCATAATGGACAATACTGCCTTTCGCATTCCACGACAGGGACTCAAGTGATTTGGAAGGACTCTCAGCGTTTGGGAGTGGGGAAGGCCCCGACGGAAGACGGAAAGACGTGGTTTATCGTGGCTTACTACGATCCGCCGGGAAACGTCACAGGAAGATTTGCCGAAAATGTCCTTCCTAGAAGAACCTCTTCCAGCTGAGACTCAACACCCGTCCGATCATGCTGCCGATATATTGTCCGGTTACTTCATTGATTCCACAAATGATCTCTTGATTTTCTCGATGTTGACTCATGTAGATTCGAAAGGAGCTATCACGGTTTCCTTTATCTAATTTTAAAATGATTGTACGCGAATATTTTACCCCACTGAGGATAGTACTCGTAGAATCCCATGTAATCTACTATACTATCACGTAATTTTGCTGGAGGAAAGTCATTGGAGACACTGAGAGAACGCTAGGGAAACGATATGCTGACATTCTTAGGACTCATCTAGATATCTTTGCATAATGCTCAATATACCACTCACTTTTTTCGCATCGGTATACCTACGCATCGAAAAAGGGGACGAAAAATTGTTTTTACTGTCTCACCCATCGTGTGAGATACTGTTTTATGTCTGCTCGTTCTTGAAATATATTGCAACCCCCGCTGAATCAGAAACTTTGTAGAAGTCGTTATTTTGCTGATGTATTGAATGTGACTTGATGGGCGCCACAACCCATACAATTTTTCGTCATCGGGTTCGGTATATGGGTTATACCAATGTTAAATGTGCATGCGGAAAAGTGAGGATTATATGGAGAAATTAACGATACATATTCGAATCTTTTCGAATTTCAGATATATTCGAAGAGCATAGGATAAACACCTTGGTTTTTGGCTACTAAAGCCCACTACAGAGCTTGCAATGTCTCCTCTAGGCCTGAATCAAACCATAGCGACGACTTTTTCTGCTTCAGTAATAGTGCAGGAAGAGGCTAATGGGCAGGTGACTATCATTTTACTTAATTCCTGAAGTATATAAAGTGAACAAAATCGAATCATGTGACGAAAAATTCATTTATCGGTCACTTTACACCATTGTTGAGGCAGTCCGGATGTAGTTATTGACAAGAATCATTTTTTAAAAGAAACTTGATTCCTCATAATAGTAAAAATGGAAACGAACCGCAATTGAGGAGTTCGGTCTCCATATGTCATCCACGTATTCTTCATTTAAATTCCACCTGCTGCGCACTACCTTCTTGCAAGTATGGCAGTGTTGTCTTCTAGACCAATTTCAGCATTTTTGGTTGTCCCGAACCCCTCGCACTCTTTCTTTTTGTAGTGTTCTGAAAGTGGTGCATGGAGATCGTCAAGGCAATAACCATTTTCTTTCCACGTTCGCTGTAACATGTCCTAATCAACAATCCTCATAGCATCGCGAATTCTGTTCTTCAACTACAAAATGCTGTTCACTTTTGTACGGTATACTGGGTCTTTCACATAACCACACAGGAAGAAACCCAATGGGATAATTGGATTTCTTCCTGTGGGGTATGTATACAAAAGTGAACAAAATTGAGGAGTTGTATTGATAGATTACAAGAGGCTTTTCCACTAGACTTAAAGCCAGAAAAGGGAATAAAGTACTTCCAACCAAACTAATTTGCTACGTGATGACCACTGAACTCTGTAACAGGAGCAAGTCCTCTCTTTAACGGAAATATCAAATGCAATTCCTTGATGAATTCACGTATTTCAGGAAACGCATAATTTTAACTGATTTTGGAACTCTCTCTCACTCCATCTTTTGGAAAGTTAAACAGTCAATAGAACGTTCCAAAGGACGTTCAAGGAACGTTGACAATTCTTAAATGAAAGGCTGATTGAACATACATTAAATACCTGGTGGTATTTGGTCGGTAGTCTATGAAGTCCATGGTAACTCCTTCCACGACAACAAGGCATATTTTTTGCTCCGGCTTGCAGCAGGTTTACTAGGCACTAGTTTGCGCGGGCTGCCTCCATCTTGATGCAATTCTCAACGTCCGCTTCTTCGGCATGCCAGCTCACTGACGAACGTGAGGTCCCGCGTTTCTCCAAGACGGTCGCCTTGCGCTTTGGCTGTTTCTTCCGACTCTGATGACAAGAGTGTCTAGGGATGGTGTCGTCTCCGCTTTGGTAATTGTCAATGACGAGATGAAATGCAGACGAGATGCGTTTGTTCAATCTATCGCTACATTCACAACGACCTTTAATCTTACGAAAAATCATTGTCATTCGCCAAACTCGCATATTTTCTCTTGGAGGTATTAAGTAGGAAATAAAGCCGTACAGCATATACCATAATTTTATCTTCTTCATTCTCCCTTCTTCCAATCATCACCGTAACTAACATGGACGGTTTAATATTTATTTCAAAAGTAATAAGGAATATAGGAACAAATGCAAAATAATCTCACTAATGCGCTTCAATTTCTTCGAATTTGTATACACATTATATCATATCCTCCGATGTTCCGCCTGTAGCAGTCTAGGCGTGAACCTTGCAGGGAGTGCCATCCAGCCAAAAGGCAATCACTTCCTTTCCGAGGGCAACCATATTCCCGCTCGGTGAAATGAAAATAATTTCTTACTTTTTATGTCTTTTTTAAATCCATGAAGCCCTCGAGACAAAGAGTTTGCGACGGCGACAACGGCGAGAGAGGCAATGGGAGAGAACTCGAAGGATGTAGAAAAGACTTGACCATGTGACCTCCACCACTATCGCACTGTCGGGAAGGAGCCGTCGAACATCATCGGTGCTGGAATTAGTTCCCTGTGGAAACGCGTGCCTAGGGGTCAGGCGTTGACACTAGCATGTATAGAGAAGAAATGAGAGTCGATCCCAAGAACACCCTGTTATTTATTTCCGGGAAATGTGAATCATGGGGACGATTTTTTCCGGTCATGGGCATTAGAAGATGGCTAAACTCAAGTGCAGTGGGATAAGAGAAAAGTAATTGGGTGGGAAAAGTATCGCCCCCTCATCCAGATCAACAATACGAATGTGTATGTTCTGAATTAATGTACCGGATTGAAGTGGACCTTGTTTTTTCCTGAATTACCCGCAGTTTTCCATTGATATAGACGGGTGCGGAAATGTTGCACGTGAGTTTAAAGCGAAATTTACCTGGATACAAATCTGATGCATTTTCTGCCAAGTGTTCCACTCGACACACATATAATTGCATTTTTCAGTCTCAAATCCCAGAACTCGAACAGTATTGCTTCCAAAAGTTACTGTATCATCATGATAATGTGCATGTGCCTTAAAATGTAAACCTGACCCGATTCATTCGTAAATACTCGAATTTGCCCATTGCATTTTCTTCGTAATTGGACTGATTTTCCAATCTTGTTAATCAGTCCAATAACTGTGATCACGTCCGAGTCGTAACGGCATTGATGGAAAAATCTGTGGTCCAAAACCAGGATTTTTGCGGCCAAAACGCAAAGTACTACACAATCACGATCACGCCTATCGAGTTTGATGCAGTGAACTAACGAATTACCGAATATAATGTGAAAAGGTCAAACTTTCCGCATACCCTAAAGCAGTCGTTCAATCCATCTCCTTCGTGCATTACATTACATTTGACGGGGTATCAATAATAACTATAAGTCTGATCCCCTCCTCAACTCCTTCTTGGCCGTCCGTGAAAGGCGAATCTGTCTGGGGAATGTATCTGTAATACAAAGGCCTAATTGGTNTCGGAAGAAGCGAGAACGTTTACGAACTTGTTATCGAGGTCGGCCCACACTCAAATAAATTCCCAATTGATTAATCGTTTCATACAGGTACACGGATAAAAATAATGCAAGTCCAGTTCTATGGAATGCATACTTAATAATTTGATGACAAACAAATTGCGAGCAGGATAATGCATTCCTATAGTGAACGGGTAATAACGGAGATAGGAGTCGATAAACGGTCGTTGAAATGTATGCCAGATGATTGGATTATTAGTTATATATGGATCAACCTCAGCTCCGGCCTACTCCATCCTGGGCCTCCCAACGAAACTACATTTAGTATACCCCCTACTGTGTGTCACCCGCATCGATAAGATACGACAAAGTACTCTTCTATGGTCTTTCAGGGTCATGGTGTCTAGTTGTGATGAGAGGAACTTCGTCTTGTGACCCTTCATTCCTGACTCGCGAATTCTTTTTCAGAGGTGGCCAGTAACTCGCACTCCGGTAGGGTACTCTTGTCAGCAAAGTACTGCGCACGAATAATTATATGGCTTTATGAAAGAATCGTTTTCACAAAGTCATAGCATAATGACATTCAGCAGCCAATATTAATTGAATAGCCAGACAAGGATATCTGTTTCATGAAAAATGAAATCACAGTTGTCTACTGAAGAGAATAGCCTATATGATTTATGAGATGTGGGAATCAATATTTTCTTACTTCGAAATTGAAATGTTTCGTGCAACAGAAAAATTACCCAATCCAAGATCGGAAGCCTTTCATACGCTTTACGCTGTAGTTCGAAGAAATAACAACGAAATTTCCACATTACTAATTCGACCTCCACACGAAGGCCGCACAGTGAACTACTGCTCTCGACATAAAATACCTATTGCGATAAAACCCGTACCTTTGCTGCTTGTTAAATCTAATTCGACTAGTTAAAATATAGTTGCTTTGTGCGAAGACCTGGGGTGAGACGTTGTTCAGGTTGACAGCTTCGGTTTTCCTACTTTAAACGATGCGCTGGCAGAAGTTGTCTTCGCATTTAATTGTACAAAATACAGGTAGTTGCCAGTGTTGCACTGTTTAGGGAATCATCTGAGGGGTCACATGTGCTGGGTAAACTCGTTTTGGTTCCCGGATATATTGAACTGTGTTGCATGTCTGTTTTCAGGATAAAAGTGAAAATTTTCTAGAAAACTTTCCATACTTAGACCCCTTTTTCACATTTTCCCAGATTTATTTCTTCTTTGGGGTAGGCTGGAAAACTTGAGGAAATCGGTCGCAATGGGTTTATTGAGTCACGTTTAAAGGTGGCATTCATTTGCTAAACTCTGATATTTAGGATGTAACCTTGCGGTCAAACTGAGTGGGTTGTAGGAGAAATAGTAATGTGGTATTCCTACTGATATGAGGCTTCGAGAGGTATATGGTCCGGAACGTCGCCGCACAACAGGCAAAGTTCTCATTGCATATTTGCTGCTTTCTCCCCAATGCTGATAAGGCCACAATATGACATGAGGGGGATGTGAATCAGTGCAGGTGAGAACAGTTGGTAAACATGGAACATTGAGAATCTCTCCGGAGACTCTTCAGGAGGAAATGTTAGAGATGTGAATTAAGAAATTGATTCCAAAGAAAGATTCCTCCCGCACTGTGCCAACTTAGAGAATGAATACGCCGACTGCATGCAACCAGTACATAGTTGAATCATGCCTCTCTTTGCATGTGATGCAAAATGGGAGCAGTCCAGTCTCATGCTGTTAATTGGCAAGCAAGGAAGTCATTCTTCTCCCGGATGCAGTTCTTATCTCCTAGATAATATTACTTTTCAAATTTGCGACCCAGGGAAGATCCTACATAATTTTTCTAAAGTTATTGGGTTGCAATTTATTAATTACGAGGTTTACCCTGTGCTTCCGAGATATAGTATGGTGCAGTCTAAATTCCATATGCCACTAGTTCAATCATCCCAAATCCCGAATGGTTTCATGACGAATATTTCACTTCAAGCGTCACTCATATGAGAAAGGATATTTCTTCTTGGTTTCTTAGATATCTTAAGAATTGCGCTTAACAACCACAGCCCTTTGTTTTGGCTTAATCCGTATATATATATAATGTTTGAGAACTTATAATGGAACTAATAACAGATATCGCGATAGAACGAACCAGTAAAATTCAAGTGGGACTAATAGTCCAATTCCATCAATGCAAA